CCTTCACTCCCTCCCTCCCTCCCTCTCTCTGTCTCTCTCACAAGCATGGTTCTGTAACAAAAACAGATGGATCGGTGGAACACAATAAAGGATAGAGAAACATCCCCAGACACATTCAGCTATTTGATCTTTGACAAAGGAGCCAAAAACATGTTGGAGGAAGAAAGATAGCCTCTTTAACAAATGGTGTTGGAAAAACTGGCTATCCATGTGCAGAAAATTGAAGCTGGACCTCTATCCCTCACCGTATGCTAAACTTAAATCAAAATAGATCAGAAACAGTACAGGGCTGGGGATGTAGCTCAGTGGTGTCACTGCCTGCCTCACAAGCACAAGGTCCCGAGTTCAGAAAAAAAAAAAAAAAAAAAAAAAAAAAAAGCAACCAGAAACAATACAGAAATAAAGAGAGGTAAAAACACTTGAAGCCATAGGTGTAGGCAAAGTCTCTCTGAACAGAACTCCATTTGCACCAGAAACAACAGCCGGAATCAACAAATTAGATTATATGAAATTAAGCTTCTTTACATCAAAGGAAATAATCATGAGTGAGGAGATAACCTACAGAATAGGAAATTTTTTTTTACTAGCTATTCCTCAGAGGACTAATATCTAAAATATATTAAGAACTCAAAGAAAGATTAGACTGCCCCAAATAAGAGACCCAATTTTAAAAATGGGCAGATAAAATGAATAGATGCTTCTCAGATGTAGTACAAGTGGCCATTAAACATATGAAAATATGGTCCACGGCTCTGGCCATTAGAAATATGCAAATTAAAACAGCACTATGGGACTGGGGATTTAGCTCAGTGCCTCCACCGCCTGCCTGTCAAGTGCAAGGTCCCAAGTTCAATCCCCAGTACCAAAAAAAACAAAAACAAAAACAAAAACAAAAAACACTGATTTCATCTTATACCAGAAAAAAATGGCAATTATCAAGAAATTAAATAGCTATGTGTTGTAGCTCATGCCACCACAGGAGCTGCACTCAGGAGGCTAAGACAGGAGGATGGCTGCAAGTTCAAGGACAGCCTGGCCTACATAGTGAATTCAAGACCACCCTGAACTACTTAGACTCTGTCTCAAAGAAGAAAGAAAAAAAGAAATCAAATAATAACAAGTGCTGGTGTAGCTATGGTGGAAAGGGAACCCTTCCTTCTACAGTGTAGGTGAAAATGTAAACTAGTACAACCATTATGGAAATCAGTACAGAGATTTCTCAGAGAACTAATACTAGAAATTTCATTTGACCCACCTATTCCCCTTCTATGTATCTTCCCAAAAGAACTAAAGACATCATATTACAGCAACACATGCATACCAACATTTATAGCAGCACAATTCATAATAGGATTCTCTATATCCAGCAACAGACAAATGGATTAAAACAATGTATCTGTACCCTATAAAGAAGGTTGTTTGAGACATTTGTAGGAAAATGAATACACCTGGAAAATGTAACATTAAGTGAAACACAAGACAAGCTTAAAATCATATGGTTTCTCATTCGAGTAAGGCAAAGTATAAATAAAGAGCAAAAACCAGGGATTTAGCTCAGTGGTTCCGCCACCTGCTTGGCAAGTACAAGGACCCAAGTTCAATCCCGGGTACCAAAAAACAAAACAGAAAACAACAACCAAAAAAAAAAAAAAAAAAAAAAAAAAAAAAAAAAAAAAAAAAAAAAAAAAAGAGCAAAAGATAGATCTTTTGTAAGCAGGCAAGGGTCCCAGAGACCAAAGGTGAGGGGAGGAGGGAGAAGGAGCAGTAAAGATTTAAGATGTGTCGTGTACATGTACCAGATAACCCACAGTGAATGTAAACACTGCACGCCATAAACAGTAGTAATAATAATGAAAATGGGGACAGGAGATCTAGGGGGCGGGAGGTAGATGGGGAGGTGAGGGAGAATAAAAAGAATCAAGATGCGTTATGTACCTGTACCTACTCCGTAAGATGAATGTTAACTTCATGCATTACAAAAATGTAATGATAAAATTTTGAAGAGAAAAAGAAATAGGCAGTTAAAAAAAGAAAACATTCAAAAAACAAAAGAGCATTTAAGAATAAATGATGTAATATAAAATATTAAATATAAGAAAGTTGATAATGACCCCAAAAGTACTAAAAACATAAAAACATAAAAAACTAGCAGTAAATAAAATCAGTTTTAGAGGGTTATATTCCAACTGATGCAGGATCACAGCGGGGAAATGGCATGAGGGGAAAAAAAAATCTCAAATTATCCGAGATATTTCCTAGTACTGAATGATTGGAAGTTTTAGTTTATTATTTTTTTATTTTTTATTTTTTGGACTGGGGATCAAACTCAGGACCTTGCAATTGTGAGGTAGGCGGCAGCTAAATCCCCAGTCCCTGGAATTTCCAGTTTAGAAAGAACTTATCATTACCAAGCATGGTGACATAAACCTGTGATCCCAGCACTCAGGGGGCTGAGGCAGGAAGGTTGCTGTGAATTTGAGGCAAGCCTAACATACAAAAATGAGATCCTGCCTCAGAAAGCAAAAAAAAATGACTTACTTAGTGCCAGCAAAATGAGTAAGAAAGACCCATTTCGAAGTACATAATTTTCATTTATATAACAGAGATAGAAGACTCTCAAACTTATCCTAAAACAAAAAATCTAACAAGTTAGAGTCGGAGATCAGATGTACATCTTCTAGCCAGCAGCACTGAAAATTAAAAGACGACAAAATGAAAAGCAGTGCTGTAAGAGTATGGCAGGAAAGTTAATTCTGACCTTATTCTGTACACCTAATCAAACTATTACATAGAAGATAGTGGGTACAGTGTTAAGAGTAGAGTAAGAGCATTCCGGACATGCAAGATCTTCAAAATCTTGCCTCTTGTGCACCTTTCTGAGGAAGCTTTTAGGTGTATGCGTCTCAGAAAAAAAAAGAGAGGGAGGGAGGGAGGCGGAGAGAGAGAGAAAAAGGCAGGAATACTGGGGGAATCTTAATATTCTTAAGGAGGGAAGTTTGTGTAGCAGGGGTAAGGAGTGGTCAGTTTGAACTATGAGACAGAGGCCCCAGGAAAGAAATGCCTTGGAGAAAAGCCCAAACATCAAATTACCTAATGCGTTTGTTTGTTTGTTTTGGTACCGGGGATTGAACTCGGGTCCTTGCACTTGCAAGGCAGGCCACCGAACCGCTGAGCTAAATCCCCGGCCCTACCTAGTGTATTTGAATATATTGAAAGGAATTTCATGGTTGTGTTTTGGGGGGATGAGCAAAGTGGGAAAAGGCAATTATTGACTATTAAATAAGAAAGTGTTGCGTAATAAAGGAAATGTAATAGTACTACAACTAATGGCTTAGTAGTAAGTCATATTTATGGAATCATAATAAATAGTAAACATAGATTTAACTGAACACTGAAAGAACTCCACTGGAAGGATGAGAAAAGGGTCTTACTGAGAGGAGTACTGCAAAATTACAAGTAAATCCCCATCTTCTATAGTAAGAAGTCAATAAAATATTTACAAAAATCTAAAAATAGGCCAGGGGTTTAGCCCAGTGGCTCCACCACCTGCCTCGCAAGCACAAGTTCCTGAGTTCTATCCCCAGTACCAAAGACAAAAAACTAAAAATAATGCTTTCACAGTGATATGTGTGTTTACACAAGCACAATGTATTATAGCTAAATCTTGGAAATGGCCCATGTGTCCGTCAGCAGATGAATGGATAAAGTGTGGTATTTATACACAACAGAGCACTACTCTGCCATAAAGAAAGATAAAGTTGAGTCATCTGTAGGAAAATGAATGCACTTTGAGATCTTAATATTAAATAAAATTATTCAGACGGCTTAAATATTATGGTCTCTCTTATACGAGAAACTCAAAATGTAAATAAGAGCAAAATAAACGATATATAATAAGAAATTGGAAGATAGATCTTTTATAAAAAGGAAGGAGGGACTAAGAGATGGGAGGGGGATGAAAGAAGAATTAAAATGTGAATGTACGTGTAACAACTTCCTCACAAGGAATGTGATCATTATATACTATAAACATGTACTAATAAAAAATTGAAAACAATGATAATACTGTAACTTTATTATGGAAGTAAATGCAAGAAGAAAGCTAAGAGAACCCATTATGATGATGACACATACTTGTAATCCCAGCACTTGGGGAGGCTGAGGCAGGAGGATCGCTGTGAGTTTGAGGCCAGCATGGGCTACGCAAAGTGAGTTCAAGGGCAGCCTGAACTACATAGTGAAACCCTGTCTTAAAAAACTCAAAAGAAGAAAAAGAAAAGAAGAGGAAAGCTAAAAGTTGAAAATGATTGTCTCTGGGGCTGGGGATCTAGCTCAGTGGTTCCAGCGGCTGCTTCTTCAGCACAAGGACCCGAGTTCTATCCCCAGTACCAAAAAAAAAATGCTTGTCTCTGGAGAGGGAATTAGGAATGATAGCATAAACTTGACATAATTTTTAAGCATTTTCCATATATTTTTGGTAAAGTATGATGAAATTTGAAAATATAAGAAAATAAGGTAGAACACTTAACCTGTGCATTTCACAGTTAAGTATTATACAAATGTAAACTATTATTGCCCTGTTCTTTCTAGAAATTGTAAGAAAGCTTTGTAAACTGGCAATACGGGCTTTCCTTTCATTCTGTTTCTTTCCCTCTGTTCCCACCATCTATGTGCCATGTTGGCTCTGAAAAAGGAATTACAGATATACTCTCCATGTCATTCTATTTATATATCTCTGCTTTGGTAATCCATTATTTTACTGATGTGAATGAGACGGAGGTGTTTAGATGTTGCCACTTTCTGATTCATATTGTGGATATCTTTTTTTATTTTTTTTTTAGATTTTCCTGAGGAAAATCCTGATATTTTTCATTGCTTTTGCCTAATCGTTTGCATTTATATAATTAAATGAATGATTCTGCAGGTTTTGTTCAAACCTGCGTTAGTTTCCTAATTAGTCTTGTTCTGTTCATTTTAACACATTTTCTCCCTGTGATCAGGGCCGCAAGCTTCTTATCATTGGGACCACTAGCCGCAAAGATGTCCTTCAGGAAATGGAAATGCTTAATGCTTTCAGCACCACCATCCATGTGCCCAATATTGCCACAGGAGAGCAGCTGTTGGAAGCTTTGGAGGTAAAAATGAGTCCATGGATTGCAGTTTACTGTTTACTGTTTTATAAGAAAGGCGTTGAGGCTGGAGAGAATGCTGAGGGTACACAGCTGCTGCGCCCGGTGTTTGGTTTCTGAGTTAATCTAGAACATGAGACCCTGGGGCATTACCTCCAGATATTCTCAAGAATCAGAGGAAGAAAAGTTGACAGTGCAGTCGTTAGTTTTCCATTCCTTGGTGTAGGTGGCACACAAACTGCCAGGAATGAATTACTCTGCTCAGTGTGCATAGAGTGCATGTAGATTACGTGGACCAGGAGCATTTATGGGTGAAGAAGGTGCAGGGTCGGGGGCAAGGTAAGCACTGCATAGAAAAATTGGTTATTCAGAGTGGCTGTCAGGGCGGGGGACTTAACTCAGTGGTGCCGCCGCCGCCTGCCTTGCAAGAGCAAGGTCCCGAGTTTGATCCCCGGTACCAAAAATAAATAAATAAATAAACTCTCTCCGGGTGCTGCCCTGATGAACATGCAGTGGGGAAACCGAGGAACCCCAGCACTCAAACGCTGACTCTAGTAGGAGAAAGATAATAAGGGAAAAGAAAAAAAAATATGAGAAAATGGAAATAAAGTGTTTGTAAACGGGGAAGGGAGGAGGGGGTGAAGGGAGGGCAGGGACAAGGGGAAAAAATAAGAACCAAGACCTGTCATGTAAAGGTACAAGATCCCAAGGATGAATGTAACTGTACTGTATACCTAAAATGTACCAATAAACTCAATTTTAAAAAAATATAAAATAAACAAAGTGGCTGTCAGCACATTTCCATTTATTAAGTAAATCAGAACAATACTTAAAGCCTTGGAAACTTCAAGAAAGCTACAGAAATAAAAGGAATGTTACTAACAAGTTTATAATGTAGAACATTTTTCATAGCTGAAGCCCTAGCTAACTTATAAGGCTGAGGTGGAAGGGTACCCTGAGACCAAGAGGTCCCAATCTGGGCAGCATAGTAAGACCTCGCCCTGCATGTTTTCTTAATTTCTTGTTTAAAAAATGTTCTTCATTGAACTTTTTTTATATGGAACGCTTCACGAATTTGCGTGTCATCCTTGCACAGGGGCCATGCTAATCTTCTCTGTATCGTTCCAATTTTAGTGTACGTGCTGCCGAAGCGAGCACTTCATTGAACTTTTGATTAATATTAACATACACAGGGCCAGGGATTTAGCTCAGTGGCACCGTGCCTGCCTTACAAGTGTGAGGTTCTGAATTCAATCCCTGGTACCCCCCCGAAAAATATGAGGGAATCCCATCAGTTTAACCTCGTAGGCAGCTTAGCCCAGTCAAGTAGCTCTTACCACTGTTCTCTTAAGGGGGAATGTGAAAATCAACTAATGCTGTTAATGTATTTCCTGAAATTATTTGCTTTCATTTTTGCTTATTTCTGCAGCTTTTGGGCAACTTCAAGGATAAAGAACGTACCACAATTGCACAACAAGTCAAAGGGAAGAAAGTCTGGATAGGGATTAAGAAGTTGCTAATGTTGATCGAGATGTCCCTGCAGGTAAGGTCCTCTTTCTCTCTATGACTCAGGCATAGAAACTTCACAATACACCAAGAAGCTTTAATATTTCCTTTGCTTAGGTTTTAATTCATTTATTGCAAATCTTATATTTCTAAACTCAAATTACTGTTAGTAGCCCACTTCTAAGATCAACTAATAATTCTTTCTCATGTCTTAGAATTCAAAACTAGAAGAAAATATAAAATTACTTATAGTTTTCATCAAGAGTTACTAGATCTTAAAACTAGAAAGGACTTCAAGGAGCAGTTGTTTAGCTGCCCCCTTGTTTTAGAGATGCATGTGTTGTGTGTCCGACGGGTTATCAGTGAATAGGCAGTTATAGTGGAAGAGGGATAGTGTATAGTCTACCAGAGGTCAGTAAGTTAGTATACATATACCAAAGGAGGTGTGGGAGACTGCTGTGAAGGACTGATTAATTGACTTATAGATTAGACTTGAGCTGTATGTATTTTCCCCTAACTAGGCTTCTAGAAATTTCTTTCAAATTACTGTAGCATTAAAGCATCCAAGGGCCAGGGATTTAGCTCAGCAGTTTGGTGGCCTGCCTTGCAAGCGCAAGGACCCGAGTTCAGTCCCAGGTACCAAAAAAAAGCAGCATCCAAGCCGGGTGTGGTGGTGCACACCAGTAATCCCATCATTCAGGAGGCTGAGGCAGGAGGATCGCTGTGAGTTCAAGACCAGCCTGGGCTACACATTGAGTTCCAGGTCAGTCTCAACTACATAGTGAGACCCTGTCTCCAAAAAAAAAAAAAAGTAAAGCATCCAACATCTCATAGAAGACTAAGGACTATGCTTGCTGCCTGAGAAGAGACCAATGAAACTTCTTTGGGACTTTCTCAATCTCCTGACAACTTACCTTTCTACTTTTTGGAATTTCATGCCTCCATGTGCCAATCCGGCATCTTGCGGTCCTCATTTGAAATGCTAAATACGTATATCCCTACCAAGCTGTGTGAGTTCAGACACCATGGCTGTCACTATCCACATTCCCTGGAACAGAGCAAGACACGTTGTAGGTTGCTCAGTAAATTTTTATTGAATGAATGAATGAGTCTCAGACTTGAATGGGCAGGAAAGCCTTGTACATTACTGGCCAGTGTGAGCAGTGGGGGCAGAGAGGAAGTTCAAGCAGTTATGGTTACATGTGAAAGAAGCTCTTAAACCATTCACAGAATGGAAACATGAAGTGAATGATTTTTAACCCTTTCTGGAAAATTTAGTTTAAATAAAATTGTTGTGGTTTTTCAGAAACCTCAATCTACTGAACTTTCAGATGGACAATTTATTTTCCATTATGAGCAATAAATTAGTCACAGATGAAGCACTTTGCTTAGACTTATTTCTGATAAAAGTACACATACAGGTGCATTGACTCTTTACTTGAGAAAAAAATAAATCTGTCAGAAAGTCAGCTCTAGTCTTGTTCTTCTAATTTCCATTTTTTTTCAATAATTGCACAGAAGAAACTGGGTTTTTCTCTTCAACCCCTTCCCTTCCTCATCCTTTGACGCCTGCAGGTCAGTGAGGAAAGTAATGCCTCATATATATGTGGGGTAGAGAGAGGGGGCACTCAGACCTGATCTTGAGCAACTGACACTTCATAGGCCTCTGAGGTTGAACCCCTTCATGTCAAGTGGAGTCTGTGCAGCTGAGTGGCTTCCTTTAGATCTGCCCTACAGAGACCGGGCCCGAGTGACGAGGCATGTAGTTTAGCAGAATGTAAGTCATGTTCCCTCTCTGTTCACCGTACATGATTCTGTTAAAACTTGCACAGTGCTGAAGATCTGCTCTGACTGGATGTCACCTGAGGGAATAAAGTCATTTATCTAGATTACTTTTTTCCTCCCTTTCTCTTGACTTTATTCCATAGCTACAGGCAAGTCAGTAAGCCGTTGCTCACACACACTAAATATGTTTAATGGGCAGAGACCTGCAAGTACTGACTACAGCCGAGCTCCATCCAGTTCCATTTTTTAAAAAGAACTTGACAATTGATTCATATGTAATTCTATTCCCAGAGAGGAAAGAGGTTTCTTTTGTTAGCAGCTCATACTTTTTCTTACTTCTTTGTAGCCTACCTCTTAACTTTGATACATTTGAAACTTCTGTTCAATGTTTTTCTGCGATAGAAGAGAAAAAAACATCTTTAAAAAATAATAACAAAGTCAATGGAGTGGGGAATCCAGTTGCACACTCACCCACAGCTGCACTGGAAAGCTGTTCCTGGAGGGCAGGGAGTTCCCTTCTGGGAACAGAGTTCTACCCTGATACATGTTTTTAGGGTGAGGTGTGTTTCTTACAATTAAAATTCATCTTAATGAATTAAAGATATTTTAATGATTTTTTAGATAACTTCATATCTATGGTAGACCAATGAGCATTAATACATTTTAACAAATTAATATAAATACGAATGTAGAGTGAAAATCCATGCAATAATAACCAGAACCAAGCACCTGAATCAGCCCCTTCCGTCTTTTCTTAGATCCATCATGTCAGAGAGACCCAGTTACCCAGAGAACATATCAGAGTCAGCAGCACTCCTCACTTTTCTTTGCAGCATTCTTCCATTCTTTGCAAAGAAGAGACTACAAGGGACACTGGGCCTAAGCAAGCCTAAGTTAATTATACAGAGATAGTAAGCTATATTTTCATTGTTTCTTTAACCTCAACTTGGTTTCTTCAACTTTGGTCTACTCTTATTCTACTCCAAGGAATTGGATGTCATTTGAACTGCCATGAATGACCAGAGGTCTGGTCTCACAGGTGATGCCCCGCAGGTGTGCTATGCCTCTGCACCGGCACCAGCTGAAGGAACATTTGGCTGAGGTGCCTGTGACTGGTGGGTCAGGTCATTTTAATCCAGTGCACAGCGATTCTCCATGTTGGGAAGTTCCATTTGCTTCTCTTAGATGACATAGTCTGCTTTGTTATATATCAGATCTCTGGTTAAGCAACAGGTGACACATTTCTGTGACTCAGTGGAGTACTCCGGAAGTCTGAAACCAAGTATTTCCCTGAAGCATTTTCATGAAGTAGGTGCATAGTTGTTAGAAGGCACTATTAACTTGTCTTTTTTATTTCTTAAAATGTATTTAGATGGATCCTGAGTACCGTGTGAAAAAATTCCTGGCCCTCTTAAGAGAAGAAGGAGCGTAAGTACATGAAGCAAAGACCACCAATTAAATGGCCCACTCTGTTAAATCCCAGGGCCTACCCTAAGAGTTGCACACATCAAATATGAATTTAACAATGTCTTTCCTAGATAACTTTGTTTCCTTTTATTAGAATTCTTCCCTGTGTTGTAGGTCTGAGAGACCAAGCAAGGAAGTTGGTTCTGTTGGCTTATTCTCCCTGTCCTGCTTCGCAAAACTTCCTTGTCAGAATGCAGGAAAAAATTTGATGGTACATATTTATTAGAACCTGCTTTTAAATGCATGGAGCTGTGACCATTCTTTTGCAAATGCATAGTGGAAAACATAGATAAAACATTAAGCAGCTCTTAGTGATTCTGTGATGACTTTTTGCAAGCACTCATCTATTTTGTTTGTGTTTCTGGTATTTATTTTGCAGTAGCCTCTTTGACTTTGAAAGTGGACTGCAGTGACCAAGGGAAGTGACCAAGGTGAAGATGGCCTGGAATCTTCATTCACCTTGCTAAGACATGGACTAAATGAACCACCTTCAAAATGTGCTCGCTTGCTTTGCATGGTTAATGCAGTAACACTCCCTTCCTCGTGCTTATTGAGATACTCTAGTGTTTTTGTGAAAAGTACACACTTGTTTTAGAATGCTGTACTTACCTTTCCAAGCTAAGATGATTCCTTCTTATTCAGAATCTGTGTGGGAGACATGCTGTATCTGTGCACACTACACATTTAAAGCTCCCTGCTACCACCATTTATCCAAAACTGTCATTATATGTAATGCAAAACAACACTTGGCCTGTTAGAAGGAAGATTTCTACATGCAAAGAGCAGTGCATAAGGTGTGGCTTCTGAGGGATTCTGTTACAGCTTCCCTATATTAACACTAAAAGTAATTGGGTATTGGTTAAAGGTTCTCCCACAAAATAGCTTATCTTTGTCTAAAGAAACAGAGATGTGAATATCTAAGATCCCATTTTTAATCATTTTCAGAAATGCTTCCAGGCTGCAATCAGATCTTTCTTACTAGAAAGTCAGATTATTACTGTATTGGCTGTGATGTCCCCTTAATGTAATTAATTGGCTTCATGGTAAGAGATATACTGATCATTACCACTAGGAGATGTTGCTAAAGATCATATGTATGGAAAAATGTACACCCTAAACAGAAAGGAGTTATTAAAATAATTTACAAACCTCTCAGTGCTAATTAGTATCCAACTCTAAGTGGGTCATTTCCTTAGGATGATATTAAAGGCTTATTAGTATTATCACTTTTCTTTATTTCTTAGCCCAGTGGCTTACTTAAGAGTTTGTCATTCCTATATTTTAAATTATCTGTGCTAACTGGCATGAAAATAAAACACTATTATCCAAAAAAAAAAAAGAAAACACATTTTAGCCCACTGCCCTGAACAGTGCTTTAATACCCAAGTTTTGAAGACTGCTTCATCCAAGTGCTTTAAAGGCATTTCCTTTACCTCCACACATTTCTCCTGAAGGGTGGAAGAGCTCATGGAGCCCTTTTGAAGGTGTGTCTCATCGCTGAATCAGAGGCAGTGTAATTAGGTCATCATTTGTGGTGGTGAGGCTTGCAGAGCATGCCATTCTCCCCACTGCTGCTTAAAACTTGAGGGCAAATGATCAGAAGCCATCCTGAAGTCACACACTGTCAGAGGCTTGTCACGGCAGTCGCACTTGGGTGTGGCTCTGTCATCTGTCCCACAGTAGAAAGCAAATCATCTCCAAATCTTACTGTATCCTTTTGGGTTTTCACCCCTCGCTTATTTGGTGGCTTTTAAAACAGTGGACTATATTGTGAATTCTATGATTCCTGGCGGCCAGTATCCTGGATTCCCTGTCTTTGTGGTCTGGCCCCTTTCCCCCTCCTGTGATGCAGCATACATTGTATTAACTTGTCTTTTGTTAAATGAGGCTAATGTCTTTGTGTTTTGTCCAAAGCTATATTGAAAATATAAATATTATATTATTCAATGCAAATGAAGGAATGCAATAAAGAGTAAATATACCTGAAAATGTTCTGTAGACCACTACTTCATATAGAACAAAGATCACTAGTAAGAACATATAAAGAGCCGGGCATGGCAGCGCACACCTGTAATCCCAGCACTCAGGAGGCTGAGGCAGGAGGATCTCTGTGAGTTTGAGACCAGCCTGGGCTACATAGTTCCAGGACAGTCTCAACTACATAGTGAGACCCTGTTTCAAAACAAACAAACAAACAAAAAACATGAAGAAAGGAAGCCCCTCCTGGTTTTGTTGTATCATAAGGAAGTGGATGATTTTTTATTTAAAAGTCTCTTATTTGTAAAGTATGGTTATTTTAAAAGATTATTAGCATACAACAAAAACTGAGGTAGTCACTGAAAGCCATAAGCTGTGTAAGACACCAAAAAGGGAAGCTGATTCTCAGAATTATCACTTCCTGTGAAATGTATAAATCAAGGGACACTTTCAGTGAGTTAATTCCCATGGTTCATTTTGGTGTCCTTTATAGTTTTCACATTTTTCTGAGCCATCAGATCTCTTAGCCTAAACCCTGATCCTCAACATTGGCTCAGGTTAGGGCAAAGGCACCCCAGAAAATCAGCAAAGCTCTATAGGGAAGAGACCAACTTTCAAAAACTCTGACGCCAGGGAATTTAGCTCAGTGGTGCCACCGCCTGCCTCACAAGCACAAGGCCCTAAGTTCCATCCGGTACCGGAAACAAACAAACAAACAAAAACTGTGACAGCAGAGTCAGTACCCCAAAAGCTCTGGAAAGAGGACCCTCAGCAGAGTGCCTCCACGTACGGCATGGCCCGGTAGCAGAGTGAGGAGCTTCAGCTCCCTTGAGTTCTTCATGTATGGGTGAATTTAACCTGTAAATTCAGAAGGTTATTTTATCCTTAAATTTTTACATCTTCACTGAGGAACTCTTAGTGTAATACAGAAAAATTGTGTCATTCCATTAATACCTGAAGTATGATTTGCTTTGCAGCTATCTTTACAGTCTAAAAATTAGTTTCAGCCACACATCACAAAACTATGGAGTGGATTGAAGTATATGTAATCAAATCCTCATCAACAGACTTGCTGAAGCATTGAGGCAGTTATTTAAAAAAAAAAAATCAAACCCAAAAAAAGAAGGCAAAGGCGTGACTTCATTTTACTTGCCAGGCTACTTGGTACATAGGCTCTTCAGAGAAGTGACTGGGCAAGGTGTGTTTGAGAGTTCAGCAAAGCATGTACATTTCAGAAGTTACTGCAAAATGGACTGAAGTTTCTTATCACCTGGCAGCCATGCTGAGACTGAGCATGAGATGAACCTGCGGAGGGTGTGTGCCCCACAAGCACGATGGGGTGAAGATGCAGGTCCAGTGCCTGTGACGGAATCCCAAGTAGGTGAGGACAGAATCTGCAAGGAAAACTTACTTTTGAGATTTTCCTAGCACCTAATTCCCACACAGTTTCACCATTTGGGGAGTGTAAGATTAGTGGCAAGAGAAATGTTTGCCTCCTAGAGAGTTCTCTGTCGAGCTAGAAGTGATGGTTAGTAGGGCAGCCATAGTTGTGCTGAACTAACTTCCTCTTCAGCCTGTAGACCAGCCCCGACATTAGAGCAAGGCTCTTCGCTCGGCCACATGGATGGAACCATCATCTTTCTTGCTTTTCTCAGCTTTTTCCTTATCTTCTTCCCTTTTGCCTGTATTTGATCTCATCCTTGAACTCACACGTATGTCCCCTCCCTAGCTTTTCTACAGCATACTGTTTGGGGAGCTAGCAGGAAGGGCCATTTCTACGCCTGAGACAGGAAGACCTAGTGAGGAGGTTACCGAAGCAATAGCCAAGAAATTTGTCAGAGGTTGACTAAGAACAAAATAAACCCTACATCCTGTAGCAGACGACACCTACTTCCATGACATCGCAGGTGATTTTGCTCGGAGACCAAGAGGAAATGACCTTAATTTGGCCACCACATTTAGACTCGTATTCTTGACCTCCTGAGCATGCATCTGAAAACCCCACACATGGTACAATGTATCCACTTTAAGGTTTTTTTTTAACCTCTTTAATGATGTCAACAGAAAAAAACTGCGTGATGAAATATATTTTCTCCAAATATATATATATATATATTTATATAATATATAATCTTAGTTAACTCAAAGGTATATACATTGTATAATAAATAATATTTATAAAAACATTTTTTGAATATAAAATCAAAAAGATCAACAACTTCTACAACTTTTTACAAAACTTTGGATACAGCAGGTTGATAGGAAATTTCCACTGGATACTATTACCTGACTATGGCGGCGAGAATAATTACAAAGCCCATGTACTGTTTATATATATATTTATATAATATATAATCTTAGTTAACTCAAAGGTATATACATTGTATAATAAATAATATTTATAAAAAGACTTTTTGAATATAAAATCAAAAAGATCAACAACTTCTACAACTTTTTACAAAACTTTGGATACAGCAGGTTGATAGGAAATTTCCACTGGATACTATTACCTGACTATGGCGGCGAGAATAATTACAACGCACTCATGTACTGTTATTAAATAATTACATGTCAGCTACTTGAATACTCCCCAGAAACATGACTTCATCACTTTTAATATAGAATACATAGATATGAAAAGACTTAAAAATTTGTATCCATTCTGCTGAAGTCGTCTCACATTCAGTCTACAGTGAGGGAGGACATGTCAGACTCTGAAGGAGCAGGGATGTTTATCTTTAGCAGTACTCCTGGTCATCAGATTTGAGAGTGTGGGCAGCTCCTGAACGACCACCTTGGAAAGCCAGCCTCTAAAACCCGGAGATTGCTGACCCCATATCTTAGGTCACAGTTAGGTAGACCCCAGACAGAAGAAAGGAAAGATAGGTCTTTGTTCTGCTCTGTTCCCCTTTTGCGTCTCTTTTTTCTGATTCTCCTTAAGACAGAGTTGTTGGATGGATCCAGACTTATTCAATCCATCTGCCTCCATTTGGCTAGCTTCCTCCATGACACTCAGCAGGACCAGTGTGCATCAAGGAGAACTCAGCTGGGAAATGCTTTACCCCAGGAACAGGTGACTGCTTGCTCTCTTTGAACACCTAATCCAGATCCTTGGTAACAGCAAAGATTGATGCTATCTCACAGGCAGGTGAGAGGGATGAGCTTTGTTACAGAATTCTGTATTTCTGTTTACTCAGACCAAAGAGGGGAAAGAATTCAGGAAGACCCATTCTTAGCAAAATGAATCATTTCACCCTTTCCATCTACTAGTCACTAAATTAGAACTGCAGTATAGATTTCTGCTCTCGCTGGTGCTTTGTCTAATGTATACTAAGACAACCTAGAGTCCAACTGCTCTATCTGGGGCTGCTTTTATAGAGAATCTACAGAGGAGCAGGGCTGAACAGCCGCCTGCGGAGACCCTGCTTGTTTCTGTAGAAAGCCATTTGAGCTGGAGAAGACTTGCCCATATGTAACCTATCTATATACAACATCCACTGCAAGAAAATTACTGTAGAATGGTAGGAAAAAAGATTTTGACATCTGACCCCCCTCTCATGCAGAACAAGTTTACAGAGAAAACGAGGCTGAGAACCCAGTTGCTCTTCAAATAGTCACCCAGAACTAGTTCTTCAAAACTCAAATCTTCCTTGAATAGTCGCTGGGGACCTTCCCAACACTTCATCCCAGCTACACCTATGGCTTTTATCAGAATGGAAAAGTGTATCGATTTGAATGGGAATAGACCAAGAAAAGGAGACCACAGGGGTCTGTCCTACTTCCCAGCTCCCACCTCACAGGCATCCTGGAATGTCACCATGAGAAGCAGCTTGGACACAGAATTTCGCCCATGCTCGTGTATTCACCATCAGGCCGAGAGCTCTCATTAGCCCAGCCTGTTCTGTTGGAGATTTTTTTTTTTTTATTTATTTAATATGTGCAAAGCTAAGCCTTAGGTCTGTTGCCACCAGACCCTGGAGAACTAAAAAGAAAGCCTCTCTGTAAAAGCCACACACCAACCAGAGCAGGGTGAGATACGTAAGATGAGAGAGGGAGGAGCCTCCCACCGCAGGCCGGCCAGGTCCAAGTCATTTACCACGTGCAGCTGGCTCCTTGCTGGCGGACGCTGAGGGCTGGCTTGGCTCTAGGTCCTGCTTCCCGTGGGACTTCGGTGCATCCGCCCAGCCGCACATTTTACCCCTTCCCAGTGCCCTTTGGGAAAATAAGAAGAATCAGAATCTTCCAGGAAGACCACCCCCTGGAGTAGGTCCCTGATAGGTGATCTCAACACTTCTCCTACATAGAAGTGATGAAGTCCAGCTGGGTGTGGTGAGGCACACCTGTAATCTCAGCTACTTGGGAGGCTGAGGCAGGAGGATTACCAGTTCAAGACCAGTTTGAATGTCTGTCTCCAAATAAAAAGGGCTGTGGATGTCGCTCCGTGGCAGAGCACCCTAGGGACTCCTACTTCTAGCTGAGGGTCTCAGGTCATGGGAGGCCAATGGCAGGTAACCACTGTAACGCAGGCATTCTTGTGGAGCATAGACTGGGAGAAACCTTGGAAGTGTGAGCACCCATCTCCACCCTCAAATTGCCAGTTGTGTTGGGCTGGTGCCAGACATACACTGTGTTTCTCTATGGCACCTGGTACCTTAATGAGCTTCCCAAACCAGTGAAAGTCTAACTGAATAATTCCCACAAGAGCACCAACGTGTGTGTTTTATTCATTTGGATAGTTTCATTTCACAAAGGATTAGAAGCACAAAACCACTTCATGGGCATTCTCAAATCAACCCTCAGCTCCTCTGGGTACTCACTGGGCCAACAGAGAAGATTTCCACAGGCTGAAACAGGCACAGCAAGATTACAAGGACATGCTCAAGGTCCGGTAGCAGGTTAGTGACAAATCTAGGACTTGGGTTGGCCAGGCCACTTAACTCTTGCCCAGAGCTTTTCCAGTGTACTAATGATGGTCACATTTCCATGTAATTCACAGCCACAAGCAACTTTGGAGCTCAC